GTTGCCGGGAGCTGCCCGGCACAGCGGGGACGACTGGTTCGCTCTGATCTGGGCTTACAGTTATTTATTTAATGGAGATTCACCCACAAAGAGATAAATGAGCAAAGATTCCGGGTCTCTGAGCATGTGGAATCCAACTTCTGACCGTGGATGGAAGAGGGACGCTGGGGTGGTGTGGAGACAGGACTGGTGGGAGCTGCCGAGGAGCAGGGAGAGCGAGAACAGCAGGACCAGGGGGAGAGGGGACAGGTGGTGGGAAGAAGGCAGGAGGAGAGAGGGAAAGATCGGTTTAAGTCTGAATTATTTAATTTTATTCCTGAACGTAGCCTCCTGCCCTGGCTAAGGCGTTGGTCGTAGGTTTGTGATGCTGGAGGAATAGCTCCTTTTCTTGCCCAGAAGAAGGGACCTGTCCTGCACAATCCCCGCCTGCCCGAGAGTAAGGACACAGAGGGAGCTCTGGGAGGGACCAGTGAAGTTCACGCCATACTTTTCCCCCCTTCATCCCCCCCTTGCCACCACTGGCACATTAGCATGCAGGGTAGGCTCTGGTGTGTGTTTAATGACTCCATTTGCCGGTGTCTCTGTTAGCTCACACCGCCTTCCCTCGGTCTCGCCTTGCAGCTCCCTCCCTGGGACCAGCTGGGTCCATCTCCCCGCTGCGTCCATGCGAGCGGCCTCTCCGCCGGGCACCGTTTCCAGCTGGGCTGGGCAGCGAGAGCAAAGCTCTGAGCGGTACTGGCAGGGGAGGGGGCAAAACGAAGCAAGCTCAGGCGAGAGAGGCAGGGAGAGCCTCCGTCTCGGCAGTAACGAGGGAGAAGCTGTTTAGTCATCTCTCTATATATACTTTCACAATGATGATTGCGTTTACTGATTGCTTGTGACTGCGTTTAGAGAGGGAGTCGAGAGGCAGCACAGTTCACCTCTTATCCTGAGGAGCGACTGCTCCCCCTTCCTTCCCATTCCTCAGATTTAGCCCTACTTCTGGGCGCCGAGAGCGCTTCCTTGCCAGGTAAGGCACCGCCGCGCCGGCAAGATGGGGCTCTCTGGGCTGGTGGGGAGGGAGGGGAGAAGTTTGCATGCTTTTGTCCTAAGCCTGTTGCTTTTGCTTCTAAATCTCTCCAACAGACTGAGGGAGGGAGTGTTTTGCAGAAAGTTTTATTATCTGATGTGATTGCGAAGGGAAAGGAATACGTGGCTGCCGGAGGCTGTCGAAGCTCTGGCTGACATATTTTGCTTCAAAGCAAATAGATCTTTGCTGCCTGAGCCTGACCCTACAAAGGACAGGAAAGGGGAGAACGAATGATCTCAAGGCTCTCTGCTCCCACCAGCAGTGTCTCATCAAGATACTCGCAGTATGTTTATCAGTCGTATTTTAAATCATCCCCGTCTGCTTCTGGAAGGGGAAACACAATGAGATTTTTGTTTTGTTTCTGCTGTCGTGAGACTACGAGGAGACATGTATTACGTATGGCATTGCCGGTGGGAGCTGATGTGGTAAGAATCCATCGTTTCTCTCCCAACCCACCAGGTGAACAGAAATAACTGTGTTCTCCAAAGTTTTCCTCCGGAGCTTTGCTGACCTCGCCGTGCCCATCAGGTTTTTGTTTGACA